GTAGAAAGAAGGGAGTGGGATGGCGCCAGCCCCATCCACCTCGTTGGACTAGTTTTAAATAAAAGTTTTTTGGTTTGTTTTTTTGAACCATAATAAAAAAAAATAAATAAAAAAAATGCAGACTTCCAGGCCCCTTCTGAATCAGAATATCTGTGGGCAGGGCCCAGGAATGTGCATTTTATGGCTTCCCAGCTTATTCTTATTTATGTTACATTGTGAGACTCTCTGCTATTGAAGTAACTTGGAAGAGAAAGCACCTGCCAAAAAGAGACAGCTAGAGGGAAAACCAGGAGGTGGCGGGGTCCTGGGAGCAATGAGAAAACAGTACCATGAGAAGGATGGAGGGACCGACTGTGTCCAGTGTTGCTGAGAGACATCAGCGCTCTTTCACCAGGCTTTTCTGGTACCAGTCCAACTTGGACTACACTCAAGACAGATGTCGGAAACGCTGTGGGACTCTATACCCTAGCAGAAGACAGAGTCGCAGGCAGAATCTCCACAGATGAAGATGGTCTAAGGAACGAGACAACAATCAGGACCATAAGCCTAACCACTGCGCTGTGCTCCTGAAACTAATATAAAATAATATTGAGTGTCGACTATAATTAAATATATATATACGTATATATATATATATACGTATATATATATATATATATATATATATATATGTATATATGTATATAGTCACGGGAGGTAAAGTATAGCATAGGGAATAGAGTCAGTAGAATTGTAACAGCTAGGTACGATGTCAGAGGGGTAGTAGATTTTGGGGGGTTATCACTTTGTGAGGGGTGTAAATGTCTAATCATTATGTTGTTTTGTACATCTGAAGCTAATAGTAATATTAAATTATAAAAAAAAGAAAGAATCAGGACCAGAATACTGGACAAATTGGATTGGAAGCAAAAAGTCAACACAAGGAACACTTCAGGACTCAAGGGGCGAGGCATGGAAAGAACAAAGCCATCAGCAGGGTCATATCCAGGACAGGAGGCCAAAGTGAGCATCTAAAGGCAGATCCAGAGGGCATCAGGGTGGACTGTGATGCAAGGTCACCAAGCTCCAGCACTTTTTGAGAGGCTTTATGCCAAGCGGTGTTGCCCCACCAAGGTGAGGAACAAACAGGGGAGTCAAGGAGAGTTCCCTAGACCTGTAGGCACGACTATTGTCCCCCATTTACCGATGAAGAAATGGAGGCAATGGGAGATGTTTAAAACTTGCCCAAGGTTACACACTAGGAAATACTTGTGCTGGAAAACAGATCCCGGCATCCTGGCTGTAGATCTCAGACTTTTCTCTACAATGCATGGTTCCTGCAAAATGGAAACTCTTTACCGCACATGGTCTACCTACCCAGCATTGCTGGGCCTTTGCTTGTGTTCTGTAGCCTTACCTCATGCCATTGTTACCTTCTCTCCCTTAATATTCCATGTGGCATACTGAACTAAATGTCCGCAATTATGCAAACGTGCTGTGCTCTCTTATCCTCAGGCCTTTGAATATCCAGCTGCATCCCTCTGCCTAAACCATCCTTTGCTCCTCTTTTTGCCATGTTGACTTCTATTCTCATCTTAGATCTCAGCATACTCACGACCTCCCTCAGGAAGCCCCTCCTATACATCCCCATAGTACCCTGCGCGAACCCCTGTATTAACACTTGCACCTTGAATCAAAACTGCGTGTTTTCTTATCTGTATCTCCAATTAACATAAGGGCTCCTAGAGTGTGGTATCCATATTCTGTTCATCTTATATCCCCTGTACCCAGCCTAGTACCTGGTACCTAGTAGGTGGGGAGTAGATATTTATTGAATCAATAACTATAGTAAGTGGTATGACAGCAGATGGTGTCTGAAAGAGGTCATTTGGAGTCCAATTATTAAGGGCTTTGGGTCTCATGCCAAAGATATTTCTATTTTATTCTACAGGCAATGGGGAGCCATTGAAGATTTTTGAGGAGAGACACAATCTGACCTTCTTATTCTAGGAGGAAGAGTCTGATACTCTGTGGAGATTGGAGAGGTCATTTTGAAGGCAAGAAGATAATGAGGGTGTTACTTAGAAAATTAGAATATCAGTCAGCTTTTGCGGCATAAAAGAACTACCTCGAAACTCGGCGGCGTACATCGTGAGTGGGCTAGGGTGGCTTAGCTCCAGGCTATGGGTCTGTGGTTCAGCTACAGACTGTAGGCATGTGGGTTGGCTGATATAGGCTGGTTTCTCTCCAGTCTGCAGGTGCAGTTCTGTCTTCTTCATGCATCTCCTTCTTCTGGGACTGGCTGGCCACCCAGGGGAAGTTGCTCTCACAGCAGTGTCAGTCGCACAAAGGGCAACCCCAGCCACACAGGTACATGTCAAACCCCTACTTACATCATGGCATTGACCAAAGCAAGTACACGGGTAAGCCCAACATCAAAGAGGCATGGAAAAACTCTCCTCCCATGGAGGCTAGAGGGGAGGGAGTGACTATTTGCTAAACAATGATCTAATCTACCACAGCTACTATGGCTGTAGTCTAGATCAGTGGTTTTCAACTGGGGAGTAAGGAGACATGCTCTCCCTGCCTTGAAATCTGAAAAAAAAAGAGAGAAAGAAAGAAAGAAAAGAACTCCCTGACACTTTTTGTGTTCCCTGAAATGACTTACTACCAAGTGGATCTTGGTAGAACCACTCTTCCCCATATGACTTAGCCCAGTCTTGGAATGAGCCCGCTGAATACCTATGCCAAGGCCAGACTTGGATCCTCCAAATTCCCATCCTTGTCTCATAAATGAGTAGCTGAAATGTTTGTCCCCACTGGAAAAAAATCAAAACAAAATGCCCACTAACTGCACTTGGCTGAATTTTGTCAGCCTTCTCTCCTTTCCTCAGGCCTCTGGATTTTGACCCAGCTTCAGCCTGAAGCAACACACAGATTGTCTTGAAGACAAACCGTTCTCTGATGTTCCTTCCCATCATGCCACCATTGTTTATCATCCCCTGTAAAAGCAAAGTCCTTCCATGCCTGAACTGAGACACTTGCAGATCTCATGATCAGTCTTCACTCTATTGCAATAGTTTCCCTTTCTTTATTGTAATTGTCCCTTTGCACTTACATGCAATCATTATTTCCAACAACTTCTCTCCTTACCTAAGTTCAGATGTGTTGTTTTGTTTGGCATGCTCCACTAGATTTCGCTTTTCTTAAGGACAGTACCACGTATGACTCAGTCAGTGTTGTGCCCCCGGTACCTAGCACCAGGGGAGCCTGCGTAGGAAATGTTATGTATTAGCTAAATGAACACAAAAATGGATAAATAATGCATGCCATGTGCCGAGGCATATGCTTGGGAAGACAAAGAAGAATAAGACGTATTTGTTACTTCAAAGATCCTGCAGCTCAGATAGGTCACTACAGCAATGTTGCTTTTAACACAGAATTTTGCATTGTTTAGGCAAAAATCTCACTTTGTAGTTCTGTTACAGAATTAGGCCAAATCACGCATTCGCCTGAATTCCGGGCTATTTATCTCCAATCTCAATAAGAAAGTATGGAAGTCGAGGTGTTTTCTCAATCGTGTTGCAGGAGTCTGTATTTTCTTTTAGCTCAGCAAAGCCCTCGAGGGAGTTTGGGGTTATTGTTTTTAAAACCTTGAAAGCCGAGCAGGTGGTGTTTTACTCTTACTTCTATTGCTGGGTGTGCTCTGCTGAGCTCAACTGAAGCTTTTGTTGCTGGGATTTGTGTTGTTCTAATTCTTTGCAGGCATCTCGGCGATGAAAGAAGTGAGTGTTGCAGATTTTCATAAACAGCTCTCAACTATTCCATTCAAGGCGAAGTCTGCACCCTCCTAGTAATTTCTACATGGAGTCTGTTTTTTTTTTTAAAAGATTTTTATTGGGGAATTGGGGGATGTGAACA